GGACGCTCACAGGGGATGGTGGTGCCGTAGCGCGCCTGGTCGGACATGATGAGTTTGTTCTTGAGGCTGCGGCGCCCCACGCCCTGCGCGCCGATCAGCACCAGCGTTTTCCGGCGGAACGGCGGCATCCGCGCCACCTCCTCGTAAATCAACAGCTCGTGCCGGTCGAACTCTGGGACAGGGACAGGGACAKGGCTGGCAGCCGTCCCTGGGGACCCAGGACAGCCTGTCGCAGCGGGTGYCACCGCCGCGTCCCCGCGGGAATGCCCCGGGGCGCTCACCGGCGTTCTTCGTCGTCAGGTACATCATCCTCTTCTTCCTCTTCCCGCTGAGGCTGCCACACAGAGCCCCTGCGAGGGCAAGGGGGGTGGCTGAGCTGGGGACAGGGACAGGGACAGGGACAGCACGGTGGCACGGGGACAGTGGCAGAGGAGCTGGGACCTTCCACAGGGGGAGTGCCACCGTGGGAAGCGGGGACATCACCGCGGGAAATGGGGACCTGCTGTAGTGACAGTGCCACGGGGACATCACCGTGGGAATTTGGGACATCACCCTGGGAATTGGGGACCTGCGGCAGTGACACTGCCATGGGGACATCACCCTGGGAATTGGGGACTTCCCGCAGGGACGCTGCCATGGGGACAGGACCCTGGGGGGTTTGGGGACATTGCCACTCCCCCCTCCGACCCCCGCCCCCCGAGCCGTGTCCCCCCGAGGCCGGGCCGATGTCGCCGTACCCGACGTGGGGGCCACCTCCCCGTCCCGTTTGACGAAGGCCTTGCGCTTCTCCTCCAGCAGCTGGCTGGGCACCAGCCCCGCGCTGCCACCCTCCACGTGACACGCCTGGGGACACAGAGCCACGCGTGGGGACCCCTCAGCCCCACAGGGACCCCCCTGAGAACCAGAGACCCCTCCCGCCCCACAGGGAACGCCACCAGCTCTGGGACCCTCCCCCAAGCTCCACGAGGAACCAGAAAAATCCCTCAATTTCCGGAGACCCCTCCCCCCCAACTTCAGGGACCCCCCGAGCTCCAGGGACCCCCCCACTCTCCCCAAGCCCGCAGGGACCCCTCGATCTCCCCCAAAACCTCCCAACCCCAACACCGCCTCCCCCTCCATGACCCAGGAGGGGGTCAAAGTGCCACCAACCCCCCCCCAGGCCACCCCTCCAGGCCACCCCCTGACCTGCCACCAGTTGGGGTCATCCTGGTTGACGATCTGCAGCAAATCCCCGGCCATGAACTTGAGCCCGGCCTCCTTGCAGGGGATGAGGCTGTCGGTGGCCGGGTCGTAGTCGAAGTGGCACTTGACAAACACCTGAGGACCGGGGGGGTTCAARGGGAAGGACCCCCGAAATCCCGAGATCCGCTTTCCGCACTGCCCTTGTGTGTCCCCAGGGCACGCGCGGGGGGGGTGGGGACACTCGGSACCCCCGTGTCACGCGTGTCCCCCTCTCTAGGAGCTCCCCTCGCCACGGTGTCCCCCCCGCGCCCGGCGCAGCCAGCCCCGCACGACCCCCGCGCACACGCACAGCGCCCCGGCCACCGCCGCCGCGCCCCAGGCGACCACCACGGCGACCCCCAGGCACAGCCCCAGGGCCACGCTCAGGCACACGAGGGTGCCCAGCGCGGCCAGCGCAGCGCCCGCGATGGCGCACATGGGGACGYGCGGGGACACACGGGCGTGTGGCACACGGGGACGGCCCACGCGGGGACAGCCCACGCGGGGACAGCGCTGCTTTGTCCCCTCGGAGACGGGGATGGCTGGCACGGGGTGGGGAGGGGCAGCGCAGGGCAGGGCACCCTTTGCCACCCGGCAGCTGGGTTGGGGACAGGGATGGGGACAAGGCAGGGACCAC